TATTCCATAATAAAACAAAGTTGTTTTAAACTAGGCTGCACATTATAATCATCTGTAGAGCTTTAAACAAACAAATAAAAAAATGCCCACCCCAATTGATTCTGATGGAGCAGATGTATTATTTAGAATTTCTTTGGCTGAGAGTGGCAGAAATGCAACTCACATCAGCCCCAGCCAACAATTTTGAGTGAGCTGTGTATTAGTTATCTACTACTGTGTAACAAATTGCCCAATTACCCAAAACTGAGCAGCTTAAAACAGTTTCCTCGTACAGTTTCTGTGAATCAGGATTTTGGGAGTGACTTATATGGTGGTTCTGCCTCAGGGACTCTCCCGAAGTTGAAATCAAGGTGTCAGCTGGGCTTCAGTCCTCTACAGCAGCGGTTCTCAACCTGTGGGTCATGACCCCTTTGGCGGTCGAACGACCCTTTCACAGGGGTCGCCTAAGACCATCCTGTATATTCGATATTTACATTACGATTCATAACAGTAGCAACATTGCAGTTATGAAGTAGCAACGAAAATAATTTTATGGTTGGGTAACAACATGAGGAATTGTATTTAAAGGGCCAGAAGGTTGAGAACCACTGCTCTACAGGCTTGTCTGGGGTTGGAGTACCTACTCCTAAGGTGGCTCAGTTACCTGGCTGGCAAGATGGTGCTGGCTGTTGGCAGGTGACCCTACAATTTTTCCACATGGATTTTTGCACAGGGCTGCTGGAGTCTTCTGACAACAGGTTGGTTTTCTCCAGATCGGGCAATCAAAGACAGGAAGGCAGAAGCAGCTTGATATAACTTATGGCTGGAATTAAGGTGTCTGTCCTTGAATAGGAGGAGTGGGATGGTATTCATAGGTCAGATGATGTACTGTCGCAAAGCCTAAAGCCCATCCTTATACAGAGTTTTAGGTCCTAGAGCCATATGTGCCGCCACACCCAGTCATTTTTTTTAATGAGGTGAAAATGATTCAAATAAGTATCAAGGGAAGACTTACAGGGGAAAGAATACTAATTAAAAAACTCCGAAGGGTTATGTGTGACTCACCTCTGTTCACGGTAATAGGCTTAGATCTGTCTTAATAACACTTTAACATTTGAGGAGCTTCTTTAGAGTCTTGTAGATGGTTTCGTAACATTTTATTTTATCTTAAGAACAATCTTAGGTTTCTAGGATGGAGTCAAAAGGGTTGGGACTAAAAGATGGAGCTAATAATAGTGAACACCCACCAGGTGCCAGGCATTTGACTGGGTGCTTTATATTTATTAACCCCTTTAACCAAATACCATGAGGTTGATGTTAATAATTTCAATTTTGAGAGAGGCGTGGCTTCCTTGGGCTCAGAGAAGTTATATGACATGCCCAAGGTCAAGTATCAGAGCTGGGAGAGAACCCAGGTTTTCCTACTCACAGTCCCACCTGGTTTCCACTTGGCTGTTGCACTTTTTAGCCTGTCCAGCTATTGCTGCTGCCTTCTCCATGTGCTATGTCCTTGATTCAGTCTTCATCTTCTGGCAGCATGGGACTTCCCAAAAGACAGGGGACACTATAATTGCAGACCCTGACTTATTGTATCCTAAGAATGGTGTTTTGGCTTTCTTTGTTTGTTTTGGTGATCACTTTATTAGAAGCCTCATTACAAGCATAACAGAAAGAAAGCAGAGGGGAGTGGGGGGGAAGGACAAAGAAAAGTATATTGGCTTGGTAAAGAGACCTAGTTTATAATCCATACTGAAATAAATCCAAGTCTCTAGGATTGTTTGATTTTTATTAAAAATCTGTGTCCAATGCAGACTATTTGAGTGGCCTCAAATAACATCTTGGCACCTCATTTTCCTTTGTTGTCAAGTGGGGTAATACCTAAGATTGGCCTACCTTCCATGGATGTGGAAATATCAGTGGCATGAAAGATGGGAAGCACTTTGTGTTCCTGCATGTGTTTGGGTGGAACCAAAACCTCCCGAGTCCCTTTTTGTATTATCCAAAACTTAGACTTCCTCTATTGCTGGATTAAAAAACAAACAAACTTGGTCTTTCTCTATTTCTGGATTTTTAAAAAAGCACAAACAATCCTTGCACACATGAGCTGTGCAATCTGATCACTCTTTCTACTTTAGACTTTCTTTGCTACAATTAAACGGCACAACACCAAGGTTTCCTCTATAATCTTCATCAATGACACCAACTCCTGCATCTCCGAAGCGTTTTGCAGGCAAACCAGAACTACAGGTATATTTCCATAAAATGCGGAAGAAAGAGCTACTTTAAAATTTTTATTTTTAATCCTCACCTGAGGACATCCTTTCCATTAACTCTAGAGAGAGGGGAGGGGGGAGGGAGAGAGAGAGAAACACAATTGGTTGCCTCCCGCATCTGCCCCATCTGTGGATCAAACCCTAGACCCCTGGTGCATGGGATGACACACAACCAACTGAGCCACACAGGCCAGGGCAAGAGGTATCTTAATTTTAGTTTTCACAAGGGCTTTCTCCATAGGCGTGGTATTTTATAAGCATATAGGTCATAGCCTGTGGCCCACGCAGACCTCTTGCTCAGAACCATGGCATTCTCTGAGAACGGGCAAAGAGGGGCCTCCTGCCGCCCTTCTTCACAAGCCGCCCTCCTTCACAAGCCGCCCACTTGTTGGGGGAGATGGCAACTGTTTCTTCAGAGTAGGGCATGGCAGAGCCGAACACGGGGGAGGTGGGAGCAGAGGGAACATCAGGGAGCAGGATGAGCCCAGCCACACCAGGTTCTTGCATGTATTTTCCATAAAGCTAAGTAACCTCCTACGAGAGGTAACTCAAAACTTAGGAAAATAATTATTTAATCACGGAATCCAGTGCAGATTTATATGCTTCCTACTGTGATTAGTATTATTAGCCTAGACAGAGAAGATGTGAAGCTCAGCATAGAACACTCCCTGATGCCTTTGTGCCTTATTTTACCACATCTTCCATTTTTTTTTTTTTCAACATAAAGAGGGACAAAAAGTGAATACCAGGATCAACAAGTCCCAAAAGATTCTATCTGCCTGGAGAGAGAGATAGCAGCAACTCACTCGCAAAGATAAGTTCAAGGAACATGTTGAATGCACATGGCACTTTGAATTAAGTAGATACAGATTCCATGTACTACTCTGTCAGCTGGCTGTTGTGTTGATATTATAATAAAATGAGCATAGAATGTTCCAAAGTTAGAAGGCTACTCTGATTGGTTCTTGGATTTTGAATTATGCAAGCCCTTTTATAGTATAGAAATTGGGTGGCCAAGAGCTATGGGGGTATAATTGCAAGCTAAGTGCAGTGACCATAGCAAGCCAGGTCACAGAGATCTGTCTTAATAACAGCAATTTAGGGCTTACTGTAGCTTCATGAGATAGTATAGCACGCTGGTGAAGAGTTCACTATTTGGGACATGAAGATGGGTTCCAAACCTTGTTCTAAGTGTTAGCAGTGGGACTTGGGTCCTTATTTTACAACTCAAAGCCTCATATTTATCCAGTTGTTAGAGGATTAAATAAAGTAATGTATAGAAAGTATTGCCAAATATATTTTCTAAAAAGTTGAAAACATGACTCTCATACAAATATAAAGTGAACACATGTTAAAGATTCACTTAACATGTTAATGAAGTAATTGGCTGCCGGTGGTGTGGCTGGTTCAAAGAAAATTGGAGAGAGCAATGCATTTATGGTGGCTGAAGGAAAAAGGTTTGAATTATCTCTAGGGGACAAATTTAATTGTCATCGCTATCAGCAGTTGGTTTCAAGTGGAGATAATTTTCCCCTCCAAGTGTCATTTGGTAATGTCTGGAGACATTGGTGTGTGTGTGTCTGTGAGTATATATTTTTAAAAAGCCGAAACCGGTTTGGCTCAGTGGATAGAGCGTCAGCTTGTGGACTGAAAGGTCACAGGTTCGATTCCGGTCAAGGGCATGTACCTGGGTTTCGGGCACATCCCCAGTGGGAGATGTGCAGGAGGCAGCTGATCGATGTTTCTCTTTCATCGATGTTTCTAACTCTCTATCTCTCTCCCTTCCTCTCTGTGAAAAAAATCAATAAAATATATATTTTTTAAAAATTTTAAGTTGAATTTATTGGGGTGACATTGTTTAATAAAATGAAATAGGTTTCAAGTGTACAATTCTATAATCATTTGTATTTGTATTGTGTGTTCACCACTCAAAGTCAAGTTTCCTTCTGTCACCATTTATCTCCACTTTATCCTCTTCTACCTCCCCCACCCCCTTTCCCTCTGATAATCACCATACTGTTGTCTGTGTCTGAGGTTTTTCTTGTTTTTTGTTTTGTTTTGTTTTTTTAGCCATAGATTTCTGTTTGGTTTTTTTTGAAATATATTTTATTGATTTTTTACAGAGAGGAAGGGAGAGGGATAGAGAGTTAGAAACATCGATCAGCTGCCTCCTGCATACCTCCTACTGGGGATGTGCCCACAACCAAGGTACATGCCCTCGACCGGAATCAAACCTGGGACCCTTCAGTCCGCAGGCCGACGCTCTATCCACTGAGCCAAACTAGTCAGGGCTTGTTGTTGTTGTTTTGCTTAATCTCTTAACCTATTTCAGCCCCCCCCCAACCCCCCCACACACATCTTCTTCTCTCTCATAGCTGTCAGTCTGTTCTCTGTATCTATGAATCTATTTCTATTTTGTTTGTTAGTTTATTTTGTTCATTAGAGTCTACATATAAATGAAATCATATGGCACTTGTCTTTCTCTGACTGGCTTATTTAACTTAGCATAATACTCTCCAGGTCCATCCATGTTGTTGCAAAAGGTAATATTTATTTCATTTTTTTTACAGCTGAGTAGTATTCCATTGTATAACTGTACCACAAATTTTTTATCCATTCATCTACCAATGGGCACTTGGGTTGCTTCCAAATCTTGGTTATTGTAAATAACACTGCAATGAACATAGGGTGTGCATATATTCTTTCAAATTAGTGTTTTGGATTTCTTTGAATATATTCCCAGAAGCAGTTCATTTTTAATTTTTTGAGGACCCTCCATACTGTTTTCCACAGTGGCTGCACCTATCTGCATTTCCACCAACAGTGCACTAGGATTCCCTTTTATCTGTAGATATTTTTGCTGTCCTAACCTGGGAGAGGAGAGCACTACTGACATCTGGTGTATAGAGAATAGGGATGATGCTAACCATCCTTCAATGCACAGGACAGTCCCCCAGAGAAAATAATTATCTAGAAATGCCAAGAGTGCTGAGGCTAAAAAACCCTAGCTCTCAGTTCCCACAAGACAGCATCTACCTTTATGAGAATTAAACTATCCTAATCAAGAGAAAATAGCAAATCAAACAGGTATATATTGCTAGAGAATTGGCTAATCCATGGGTGAGCTGCCTCCAGCAGTCACCAACCAGTGGTCCATGAGGTCCGACAGGTTGTCTAGTAGACCCTAGACAATGCTTAGATAACTTGAAAAGGACATCCAGTAAACTCTTTTGCCTATTTTCAAGCTTTGGAAAATTTTCTTAGCAGCACTTGACATCATACCTAGCACATGCTAAGTGATCAATAAAGGTTAGTTACTATAAATTTATAGGTCACTAGATAGACGTCCAAATGCTCATACAGTAAAATGAACATAGCACTAGAACTTGTCTTTAGAGAATATTATAGAAGCATCATCATTGTTGTAAGTTACTTTCCTGTTGAATTATTTCATCATGGTCACTTCGATGTTTTAGTCTTTCTATATAACCTTCAGAACTATGGATCATAGATCCTGTTAAAAAACAAAACGCCATGTTTAAAAATTTTCCTGAAATCCTCACTGAAGAAAACAAGCTTCTCTTCCAGCCTGAGAAATTTTACTGTCAAATTGAGACTATCCAAAATAGACTTAGAAAATCCATGTAATGTTTTTACCTGCTGTAAAAACAGGTATGGTAACGTAAAGATCATAGGATTGTAGGCTATGGCCCTTTTGATAGACAAAAATGTTTTCATTCTATGAGCATGGTATCCCAGAGATAAGAGATGGGAAAATTTTTTTAAAAAAGGAACCACATAGTTGCCAAAATTCATCTTCTATAAATCAGTTGAATAGTATAACCAATAGTTGTATCAATCTGAGTCCATCAGGGGAGAGAAACCACAAAGTACTGTGAACAAGAAAAGTTTAATTAAATAATTGTATACATTCTTACATAAAATAAATATATTCTTAAAAAATTAATAATTGCATTATAGAAATTAAATAAACAGGTACATCATAGTTATACATAAATAAAATATATTTTAAATATATTTATTTATATAAATATGTGTATTAAAATATAAAAAGACCCAAATAACTTAATCATTCTGATTATATATTTATTATGTAAATAGAATATACACAAGGTATTGGCTACTAAGAAATAACGAGAACTCTTAAGGAACAGCCACATCTCCTATGACTGAGAAAGAGGTGAGCCAGTAATGAGAGCCAGACCTTGTTGGAGAAGCCCTGGCCGGGTAGCTCAGTTTGTTAGAGCATCAATACACCAAGGTTGCAGGTTCGGTCCCCAGTCAGGGCACGTACAAGACTCAACCAACAACTGGGTAAATAAGTGGAATAACAAATCAATCTCCCTCCTCTCTCCTCTCTCTCCTCTCCCTCTCCCTCTCCTCTCTCTCCTCTCCCTCTCCCTCTCCTCTCTCTCCTCTCCCTCTCCCTCTCCTCCCTCTCCTCCCTCTCCTCTCTCTCCTCTCCCTCTCCCTCTCCTCTCTCTCCTCTCCCTCTCCCTCTCCTCTCTCTCCTCTCCCTCTCCCTCTCCTCCCTCTCCTCCCTCTCCTCTCTCTCCTCTCCCTCTCCCTCTCCCTCTCCCTCTCCCTCTCCCTCTCCCTCTCCCTCTCCCTCTCCCTCTCCCTCTCCTCGCTCTCCTCTCCCTCTCCCTCTCCCTCTCCTCCCTCTCCTCTCTCTCCTCTCCCTCTCCCTCTCCCTCTCCTTCTTAAAAAAAAAGGAAGAAGGCTCTGCCCTGGCTCACTGAATGGCACAGAAGTAGCTGTGCTGCCACGTCAGCCAAACTTGCTGGAAATCTGTCCTCTGGAATTTTGGGTGCTTTGGAAAAGCCACTTATCGGAGGTGTCTCATCAGAACTTTGCTACAGTTGCTGACTTACAGGAAAGCAAAGCCTTTTTCTTTTTCAAATGTCTCTCCAGTGCCCTCTGTTGACAAACTAATATTGTTCCACCTGGCAAAGGAAAAATAGTTAAGGGCCCAGATTAATTTTTACAGGTGAGGCAAAATGAAGATTTTGGATCTAAGAGTGAATGAAATAAAAAATTGGCACAAGAATGATTTTGCAATGCTTTTAGGGGCTAAAAACACTGGTAATTTCAAGCTGGTAGTGTCCAAATAGCCAGGGTGGGGCCTCATGGGCCTGTGAGCTGCTATTTGTCCACTATTGTGCGAGTGCAATAAATCTAAAAGTGTGGTCCCTGGGTCAGCGATAATATCATCGGGGAACTTGTTAGAAATGCAAATTCCAGGGCCCTGCCCCCAAACTATTGAGTCAGAAACTGGGGTTGGGGGCCAGCCATCTGTCTTAATGAGCCCTCCAATTAATTCAGATACATGCTAAGGTTTAAGAATCACTGCTGTAACAATTAGTCCTAGGAACTTGCTGTGCAGGCTTGAAGGGAAGAGTCAATAGGGATATCTTTGCATGAGTTTTAGTCTCAATTTTTAATCTTGAGTAAAACAACTCAACTTCCCTAGGATCTGGAAGCTAGCAAGGAACATATTATTACCTCTATCTTTGCTATATGGATGACATCTTTGTGGACCCTGTGAGTGTGACTGCATTGGGATATACTCACTTTGGTAAAAAAATTTTTATATGTTTTAATTGATTTTTAGAGAGAGAGCAAGGGAGAGAAAGATAGAAACATCAATGAAAGAGAAACATCATCAATAAGCTGCATCCTGCATGCCCCCTACTGGGTCCCATTCAGAAAAGTTTCAGTCACTGGTCTAGAGGAACTGACCCACTGTTTGTGAGCTATGCTACATCTATGCACTCCTTGGAGTGAGAATAACTCATTAAGATAAGTTCCTGGCCACTGTCATGGATAACTATTTATTGTTCCACATACTGTTCCACATATAATCATGTGTGCTAGAACAAACAAAACAACAGCTGTCACTGTACTAAAGTACATGTTGTACCTCTGTTAAGGTTCTTGAATAAGGTTCTTGGTTAATGTTATAATTCACCCAGGAAAAATACAGTGCACTCTATTTGTATGCTGTTACTTGCAGACTTTGGGAATAAATATAATAGAAATTAATGGGGAATTTCAATTCTCATTTTCCTAAATCTTCAGACTAGCAACAGTATTCTAAGGCTGTTGAGATTATAGGGATTCTGGAGCCAGAAATGCTGGTTTTTCTGTCAAGAACTAAATAGAGTCCGAGTCTCATTCTTTTAATCCTTGCATTAAATTTAAGCCTATCCTAAGATATCCAATGTCATTTGCAATTGGTAAAATAATCCTTGACTTCCAGGAATGAAATAGTTGGAGAATCAGAAGAATATCATAAAGGGTGGCTGGCTGCAGTAGAATTCTTGTGTTGGAGTGTTGGGAAAATAAATACTGTTACCTTTAATGGTTTTTCTTAAACCAAGGAAACCTAGCTTAATACTTAGTGACTTTGACTTAGAAATCCAGTAATAAATCTACTGCATTCTTTTAAAATATATATATATATATGTATGTATGTATATATATATAATTTATTGATTTCAGAGAGGAAGGGGAGAGAAACTTCAATGATGAGAGAGAATCACTGATCAGCTGCCTCCTGCACCCCATACTGGTGACTGAGCCCGCAACCCAGGCATGTGCCCCAGGCATGTGCAGGAATCAAACTATGACCTCCTAGTTCATACGTCCACACTCAACCTCTGAACCACGCTGGCTGGGCCCTACTGCATTCTTATTATATAGCTCATGTTGGAGAAACACACATTTTTAAAAATAATTTTTAAAAATATATTTTTATTGATTTCAGAGAGGGAAAGGGAGGGATGGAAAAATGAATGATTAGGAGAATCCTCCATTGGCTGCCTCCTACACACACCCTATGGGGGATCGAGCCTCCATCCCAGGTATGTGCCCTGACCAGGAATCAGACCATGACCTCCTGGTTCATGGGTTGCTCAACCACTGAGCCACACAGGCTGGATGAGAAACACATTTTTTAGTATTTAATCTTTTAAAGAATTGTTTTATCTTTATTTTTATTGTTGACACTATTACAAATGTCTCCATTCTCCCTCCCCGACCCCTTTGCCCACATCCACCCTGCTCCCACCCCACCTTCCCTCTGGCCATCACCACACTGTTGTCTGTGTCTATGGGTTACTGTGGGTTATGCATATATGTTCTTTGGCTAATCCCTTCGCCTTCTGACTCCCGTCACCACCCCCTCTCATCTGATGGCTGTCAGTCTGTTCCATATATCCATGCCTCTGTTTCTTCTGTTTATCCCCCCATAACCATTTATCCTCTCTATACTTCCTCTACCTCCATCCACCTCTTCTCCTCCTCTGCCCCCGCTCCAGGCAATCACCACACTGTTGTCCAATGTCCATGAGTTCTTTCTTTTTTAGTATTTAATATTTGAAGTATGTAAAATGTGAAAATGACTATACTCTTTGACTAAGCGCTATTCTGTAAAATTTTAATGTAACTAAAGAAGAAAACCAGCAATCTTCATAGATATCTTTTATAGCATGTTATTTGCCAATATGAAACACTGGTACAATACTAAATATCCAACAATTGGGAAATGACTCAATAATCTTACATCAATTTGAACTATTATGCTACTCTTTATAATTAGAAATTATATTTTAAATCCAATGTAGAAAAATGCCAAAAAGAAAAATGTAAACATTTGATTATATTTTTAGTTTGCAATTTCTTATTTCTATGATTTGAAACTAGACATGTGACATCATCTGCACTAAGATGTTTATGTTGTCTTATAATTCACTTTCAATGAGGAAAACAGAACTCAGACTTCAGTTCTTCAACTGGGAGAGCTATTTCGTTTTATTCAGTTTCATTATATAATGGAATCTATATAGCTTCTTAAATATTAGATATTAATTTTAAAAAGAAACAAGCATCACAATGAACCATGTAAATCATGTAACCATATAAAAGACAGATGAATGTGAACAGCAAAATCATTGGATGTGTACTCATTAAGATGTTAACATTGCTGACTGGTGGACACATAGGTGATTATTTTTTCTCCTTTTACTTTTACATTAAAACTTGTTTTATAATTAATATACTTTTATCATGAGATAAAAGTAAACATTCTTAAAGGAGGTTTGAATGATGCTGGTGACTAGACTGCCTTGTTATAGTGAGAATAGGTAATCATTCAATTTCGCTTCAAAGTCTGGATTTAAGAAGGATGGAATTAAATATATAACTTCATATCCTTATTCTCCTCGGTCATTTAGTGTTTCTTATTAATCAAATTCAGTTATTGTTGTTTCCCATTCATTATTATGACTTTATCACAATTATGATTTTACGTGCTCAGAGTAGAAAATTAGTTGAGCAGGTTTATGAGATGTTATGAGAAACTTAAAGATTAGTCAAATGAAAATGAAAAAAAAAAAGATTAGTCAAATGAAACATCTGAAAGTCCTCCCCACTAGCTCATTCCTGAACTGAGGGTTACAGCAGGCTATGCTGAGGATCCCTCCAGGCTGGCTTTGCAGGACACTGTGGTTGGAAGAAATGGGAAAGATGGTGGGTTAATATAACACAGTAACTTATACAACTGGAAAAAAAAATAACAGGTCTTGAAGGTAGGAAAAGCTGATCTGTTTTGGATTTTATTTCTCTTCTAACGTGTCTGTTACATACAGGGGTGGGCAAAAGTAGCTTTACAGCTATTCGTATGGACAATCCAGTAATTAATAAGTAACAACACAAGAATAAACTGTGTTTCGCATACTCACAACTATACACCTACTTTTGCCCACCCTGTATTTTCTTCTTTTTAAACTTTATCCAATATCTAGAACACAAGCAAGATAGCCTTAAAAGGAGCAGTTAATTATTTCCTTACAAGTCTCCAGGACAGTGGTTCTCCACCTTGGCTGCACATTAGAATCACCTGGGAATCTTTTTAAAATCCTGATTTCTGGGCCTCATCCCCAGGAAATTCTGTTTCTTTGTTACTAATGTTGTGGCCCCACCCCATAACAAAGAAACAGAATTTCCGGAGGATGAGGCCCAGAAATCAGGATTTTAAACAGATTCCCAGGTGATTCTAATGTGCAGCCAAGGTTGAGAACCACTGCACTAACCCCTATAAAAGTGGCGTTGGCTCAGGCGCTATCATTTAGAAGGCAGAGCCCCTCCTTTCCCCCTACACCCCATTATCCAGTCATGCTGGAGCTTCACTGTAGGAGGCCTGCCTTTCATCAAGGTAACAGATGGCAGGGCTGGGCAGGCGTATCTGGCAAGAATTATAAGTTCCACTAAGAAGTAATTTAAAAATGGTCCTGAAATTTTTTCAGTTGGGTTCCTGCTTACATGAAGGGCTGATCCTGAAATTAGGAGCTTGTAGGGTCAATAAGCTACATTGCTGGGCTCAGTTCCCTGGTCAGATAGGAACTTATTGAGGACATGGGAAATCTGGTTCTTAAGAGAAGATATTTGGACTATGGCAGTGTGTCTCACCAAAAAAGCATGTAATATTCTTCACTGTTGGAGTGACTCATACTGTCTTCTCTTGAGTCATTGCATTTTGCATGAGTTAGCCATAAAAATCTTTTTAGTTCAAATTTAACAGCAGCTAGATCTATAGTTTTGTTCTCCCAGCATGCTTTGTTATCCTTCTTCTTCTGGTTTCTACCTCCTGCTCTGCTTTCCCTTTAATTTCTCCCTTTAATTCAGGAGACCTTAGGGGGTATATTCAATTACAACATCAGTACATGATCCAGTGCTAGCCAGTCTGAGTATGCTGGCTCCCTGGCCATAGTGATTGGTTTAGCAAAAGTCATGTGATCCAAGCAGGACCAATCAAAGTCTTCCGTGGGAACTTTCAGCTGGGCTAAAATGGGAAACTGCTTTTAAAAAAAACTGTTTAAGGTGGGGGTTGGGAGGCTGGGTGTAAAAGGCACAGAGATTAAGAAGTACGAATTGGTAGTTACAAAATAGTCATGAGTTGCAAACTACAGCATAGGAAATATAGTCAGTAATATTGCAGTGACTAAGTATGGTGCCAGGTGAGTACTTGATATATTAGGAGATCATGTTATACATTATGTGATTGTCTAACCACTATGCTGTACACCTGAAACTAATGTAAAATAATATGAATGTCACCTGTACTTGAAAAATAAAATTTAAAAAAACTTTAAAATTTTTTAAACATTTGCAAAAGCAGTGAGAATTATATGTAAACCCCTTGTACCAAACACCCAGCTTCAACATTTATCAACTCAGGAACAATCTTGAAAAAGGGTAAACTGCCTTTTTCCGCTGGGGCTGTTGGACCTAAGAGGACAGTGCTTCTAACAGACATGATGTCTGTCAGTGACTGCTGCCCCTGTACTGATTTTGCTTAAGCAAAATGTAGGAGGATTTCTCTCACTTGCAAATGTGTTGTCTAATATAAAAATCTTAACGAAACACTCAGTAAATAATTTTTTAAGCCTTATGCTTACTTTTGAGGTATCTGGGAAACAGAAATTCATGAAAAAATCTTTGAGAGGAATAAGGAGAAGGGGAGCTCTACGACATATTAAAACAAACAAGATCACCAGCATTTTAACTTCACTTGGCCAAAGGATCATTTCAGTCTTATTGAAATAGCAGCTAGCTACTAAAATATTTAAACTACATAACATAAGTATTAAGAGGTATAACGAAGGGTGGATATTTTCACCCTTAAAAAATTGATCAAGTCCTCAAACCCATTCAGAGTCTGATTCTGAATTGTCTTCAAAGTAATGAATGAATGGATACAGTCGCTCTTACATTGGCATTCTGGTATGCCATTCCTAGGTATGTAATGAACTATATTCCTAGCTGTCCCTTAGGACAATACTTACATTTTTGCTTTGCCAGTTCTTGTCTTAGATCTTCATACACTTGTGAAAAGAGGTCCTCTTTAGATTTTGTTCCATCCAGGTAAACTGAAAAGGGAAAAAGAAACATGTCAAATGCTAACAGGCTTATTAAGATAGCATGCTTACTTTGGCACCTGATAGCTCTTGAAAATACTAGTAGGTTTAACCAAAAAACCCAGGACCATAAAATAAAAATGAATGAATAGCCATTAGAGAGTGAAGTACATTATAGTCAGAAACAACAGGTAAAATTTTTTGGTTAATTACAGAGAAATGCACACTAGTTAATAAGAACATTATTACCTTTTTTTTTTTAAATGGAAGAACAAGAAAGGAAAATAATTATATGGCATTTTAGGAGGACTGAAGAGGTGCATCCCTGAAAGAATCATGTAAGGGAGTAGTTATCCCACTTACTGATGCATCAAGATTATCTGTGAAGCTTCTTTTTTTGTTTGTTTGGGTTTTTTTTGTTATCTAGGCTTTTAAAAAAATATATATATATATTTTATTGATTTTTTTACAGAGAGGAAGGGAGAGAGATAGTTAGAAACATCAATAAGAGAGAAACATCGATCAGCTGCCCCCCACATACCTCCCACTGGGGATGTGCCCACAACCAAGGTACATGCCCTTGACCGGAATCGAACCCAGGACCCTTCAGTCCACAAGCTGACGCTCTATCCACTGAGCCAAACCAGTTACAGCTTTGAGACCAAACCATTTAGGGGTCTGGGCTCCCCACATACATACTCAATCAGAATTCTTCAGGCCCAGAGGTATGTATTTTAAATACACACACACACACACACACACACACACACACACACACACAGTGGCCCGGTGCATGAAATTCGTGCGTGGGGGGGTGTCCCTCAGCCTGGCCTGGATCCTCTCCAATCTGGGGCCCCTTGGGGGATGCCCGACTGACGGTTTAGGCCCGATCCCTGTAGGATCGGGCCTAAACCGGCAGTCGGACATCCCTCTCACAATCCGGGACCACTGGCTCCTAACTGCTCACTTGCCTGCCTGCCTGATAGCCCCTAACCACTCTGCCTGCTGGCCTGTTCGGCCCCAACTGCTCCCCCATTTGCCGCCTCATGGCCCCCAACTGCCCTCCCCAGCTGGTCTCCCGGTCTAATTAGCATATTACCCTTTTATTAGTATGTGTGTATGTGTGTGTGTGTGTGTGTGTATATATTTCAGAGAGTAAGGGAGAGAGAGATAGAAACATCAATGATGAGAGAGAATCATTGATCAGTTGCCTCCTGCATGCCCTCCACTGTTGATTGAGCCCGCAACCCAGATATGTGCTCTGACCAGGAATCAGCTGTGACCTCCTTGTTCATAGGTCAATGCTCAACCACTGAGCCACTCCAGCCGGGCCCAGAAGATACATATTTTTAATAAAACTGGCATAGTAAGTCTTGGAGAAAAAGTAGAAGTTATGTATGTTAAAGGAAGGAAAAGGCCTTCTAGTCAGAAACCTGCAGAGGTAGGAGGTAGGAGAGAATTCTGCCTGTTAATAAGATGCACCGTTCGGAAAACCTAGAATGTGGGGAGGCAGAAACAGTGGAGAGAGGAGGTTTTGGTTTTGGAGCAAGGCTGTGCCTTTGTCTTTAGAGGCCTCGATGTCTGGCTGTGTGGGGGTTTTACCGGAGAGCTGGAGACTATGAAGATATCAAGCAAGGCAGGGACATAGTTAGATTTGCGTTTCAGATGGAGAGGGAGAGAGGAACAGTGAGAAGAGGAAGTGTGGCTAGAACCCCCGCAGTGGCTCTGTGGATGGGGAGAAGGTGAACTTGACTGAAGAAGAGGCCACGGAGCTTTTCCCAATATGGGCAACTCCCTTCATTCTGAAAAGTGTGCATCAGTCCTGCTGCTTCTGCTCCAACCAAGAGCCTTCTCTCTCGGCTTCCTGTAGTTTCTCTGTGTTGAGCCCTGTATTCCAGAGGTCTGTTCCGAGCCTGGGCTCACAGATCCAGATGTTTACCCCCAACTCGCCACTTTATGTCTCTCAGGCATCTTAACTTATGCCAAACAGACTTGTTCTTACCTTCCAAACCTGCAACTCCTTCACTTTTTTCTCTTTTCCAAAACAGTACCTGCCAGGTTCCAAGGTATTGTCCTCGACATCTTGATTTCCTGGACCCACCCTATCTATACTACCATCCAGTTCTATTGAGCACATATGCCCAATATTGCATCCTCTACACCCACCCTCCACATAGCCAGAGATATCTTACAAGAATCTGATATCTAACATGTCTGTAGAGGGCTTCCTACTTTTATTGAGATAATGACCCAAGCCCTTAACTGGCCTATATAGCCTTGTAGGGTTAGGATCTTTCCTGTATTATCAGCAGCACTTCTTGTCCTTGGTTTTCTCTCCACAAATACACCCTCTCCAATTCTTCCGGGTGCTGATCATTTCTTCCTGCCCCCTAGCCTTTCTATGTATCACACCCACTGGGGCGATCGTCCATCCCAACACTCTTCCCTTTCTCCAGTTAACCCTGTCAGTTGACATGTGGCTGGATCACTGGGACTTAGGCAAGTGCCCTAAGAGCTCGCTGTCACAGTACTCAGCACAGCTGGAAAGGACATGCTCATGTAGCTAGTTTAACGTTTGCTTCAATAGTAGAATGTTGGCTCATAAGAGTATGGACTGGATCTGCCTTATTTCCCTTGATATATAGCACCAGGACAATATCTGTACATTGAAAACATTCCATCCATATTTATTGAACAAATGACCACCTAGAAGTTGACAAGCTATTCACAAGAGCCATAGAGAGACAAGCAGAAGCCAGGAGAGCCTGTTGTGGAAGACGGGAGCCCCGAGTGCTACAGCTTACAGTTTCCTTTATAATATAACACATACATAAGAAACATTCCTGCCGAACCGGTTTGGCTCAGTGGATAGAGCGTCGGCCTGTGGACTCAAGGGTCCCAGGTTCGATTCCGGTCAAGGGCATGTACCTTGGCTGCGGGCACATCCCCGGTGGGGGGTGTGCAGGAGGCAGCTGATTGATCTCTCTCATCGATGTTTCTAACTCTCCGTCCCTCTCCCTTCTTCTCTGTAAAAAATCAATAAAATATATTTTAAAAAAAGAAACATTCCTTCTGAATTCTGTGTACTTTCTGGCAATGACAGGTTAACGGTCTCCCATGGAGGGAGAAAGGCACTTACCAATTTCCCACTCAATGTCCTCTATTTCTCGTCTGTGCTTTAAATACATGGGCCACACGTGGCCATCAAAGTACCCTGGGGGGTCTGGAGGCTCATAGACCCTCGTGCTGTCAAAACAGGTAGGAAATTTTGATGATAGAAACACACATCAATAAAGTAAAATAATAATGGCCAGGATAATAAAAAAAAATCACTGAGATCGAATCTAAACAGGATTAAGACTATACATTTTAGACTCAATCCCAGTTACAAAGACAATAAAATAAATTTAGCTTGCTCACCCAAAAATTAATCTTCTAATTCACTATAATTTATATTATCTTTTCCCCCTCATTTTTTTAAATAAAATAATTAAGAGACAAATATCAATGTAAATAATGATGAAATACTGATATGCAGGATTGAGCTTTAAAGTAATTGGTGTTCTTTGTGGCTATAGCAGAATATAGGCCTACTAATTTAAAGTCATAATCAACATGGAATTGTTTCATTTAAAGATTTAGGAGAAATCATCCAAATAGCTCCTACAGGGCCTTTTCTTAGAAAAGTAATTTGTATTTGTTCACATAGATGATTATTTATGGAAAAAGGTTTTCCGTATTATGTAAGAGTTGAGGCTTCCCTTGTTTGAAAAATGACATATACATATTGCTCAATAATGTTGCTGTCCTCATTTTTTGTAAATTTTGTCTTTTGAATCCACATCTACAAAGGCAATTTCAAAACTTACCTCCTCCTCCTCTTACATTCTTCATATGGAATGGTCACAAAGTATCTTCTATTCCATATAGTCTCAAGGGGCCTAAAATAATAGCATATTCAGTTCACAGGGGTTTCCCTCCCATTCATTACGAGTCAATATCTGAGTGAGGATGCTTACTTATAATTAAAGAGAAGGAAACCTTCGATGATTAATATGGGAACGTCCTCATTGTTTCTCTCTGTTGATACCGGAGAGTGTCTCGGGCTTTGCATCCAGCAAGAAATGGTGGACATCATTTTTTCCATGTTAAGCGCTTCAAGCACTTGAAACAACATACAAAAATGAGAAACCAGTACCAAAAAAGTGTTATTATGAGGATATGAGTATATTCCGGGCTCGCTAAATATATTAAACAACACTATTTACCCTTCAAAAAACCCAGTAACAAATCTTTTAGATACTTTTAAACTCTAATATTGATAAATGGGTATGTTTGAAACATTTTTATTATGGGACATTTGATACCTAATCAAAAGTAAAGAGTGAAGTACAATGAACTTCCATGTCCTCATGAACAGCTCTGACAATCATAAACTCATGGCGAATCTTGCTTTATTTATAATTTCTACTACCCCCTGATTACATGAAAGTCCAACATTTTTGGATGAAAAAATATCTACAAATTAGTTTGAAAGCTATATGACACCCTGAGGAAAATATCTACAATGTGTTTGTTAAAGAACTAATATTTTCAATATATAAAGAGCTCTTACAGATAAACAAGAGGAAAACCATTAAAACTTTTACAAAGAACACAAATATGTCATTTTCAAACTCTAACATGAGCATACTTTCCGGGCTCACAGTTATAAAAATGATTCTGAAAGTGTGGTACCTTGGCCAGCAGCCTCAGCATGACCTGGGAATTTACAAGGAAGGCGAATTCCGAGTCTCACTCCAGAAGTACTGAATTGGGTCATCTGGGCTTAGAGGTTTTTATTAATTAATCCTTAATTTATTTAATAGATATAGGGCTACTAAGATTTTCTATTTGTTCTGGTGTTAGTCTTGGTAAGTTACATTTTTCTGGGAAATAGTAAATTTTATTTGTTTTCTAATGTATTCACATAAGTTGTTTATAATACCCTCATCCTTTTAATGTAGGTAGCATCTGTAATGCTATTATCTTTTTTGGTTTTGGTATTTGTAATTTGTGCCTTTCCTGTTTTTTTGTTGTTGTTATTGTTGTGTTGTTTTTTATTTTTAATCCTAACCCGAGAATATTTTTCCATTGATTTTTAGAGAGAGTGAAAGAGGGAAAAGACAGAGAGAAATACCCATGTGAGACACAACGATTGGTAGCCTCCTGCACTTGCCCCATCGGGGCCCAGACTAGTACGTGCCCTCGGCCAGAATCAAGCATATTTTCAGTCCTTTGGGACCCTTCGTCTGTAGGCTGACGTTCTATCCACTGAGTCAAAACGGCTAGGGCTTTATTTTTTTTTCTTGAACAGTGTTGTGTAACCTGTTTGGGGATCACTCAGATTCTTGCATATGTAGATTTATGCCCTATGCCAAATTTGAGATGTTTTACATCATTACTTTTGTTTTACTTAAATTTTTTTTAAAAAAAATTAATGAGAGAGAGAGAAACATCATTTTGTTGTTCATGCATTCATTGGTTGCTTCTTCCCGACTAGAGATTGAACCTGCAATCTTGGCATATCGGGATAATGCTCTAACCAATTAAGCTACCTGACCAGGGCACTTCATATACTTTTGCAGCACCACACTCTTTCTCCTCTCCTTCTTAGACTCCAATAATATGTTAGATCTTTTGTTATTGTCCATATTTCTGTTAATTTCTTTTCAGTCTGTTTTCTCTCCGTTGTTCAGATTGAATAATTTCTATTGTTTTGTTTCATAGTTCACAGATTCTTTCCTCTATCATATTTATTCTGTTGAGCTGATCCAGTGAGTTTTAAAATTTCAGTTATTGTTTTCAGTTCTAAACTTTCAATTTGGCTCTTTTTTACATCTTGCGTTTCTTTACTGAGGCTTTCTAAGTTTTCACTTGACGCAAGAATGTTCACAATTGCTCGCTAAAGCCTTTTATTTTTATTTTATTTTTCGCTGAAGCCTTTTAATAAACACTGCTTTAAAACACTTTGTCAGGTCATTCCAACATCTGTGTCAACATGGAGAGGGAAGTTGGTGTCTGTGGATTGCCTTTTCTCACTCAAGTTGAGAACTGCCTGGTTTTCAATATGACAAGTGATACTCAGTCTTGTTCTGGAAATGTTGGATATTATGTGGCGAGGTTCTTAAGCCTATTTCTTCTTCTTTTTTTGCAGGTAGTCACCTGTTTGGGTGTAGATTGCCCAGATGAGGGGATGTTTGGCTCCTGGCTGGGCCTCACTGATACTTAGTGCAGGAGGGATTGCCATGAAGGGAGAAAGGGAAAACTAAAGTGCTGGTGTGGCTTCATTGCTGCTCAGCCAAGGGTCAAGTTCAGCTCTCCACTGACTTCTGCTGATAGAAGCTGACTATCTGGGCGAAAAAAGTGTGGAGTACAACTAGCAGCACCTCACACTACCTCATCCTGCCTCTTTGCTGCTGGGCGGGGGTGGAAGTTCAGTCACCGTTTTGTTCCACTGATATGATCCCTATGGATGACATGGAGGGCCACCTCACCCCACCTTACTAGTGCAATGGGCTCAGAAGTCTTGCTCCCCACTTGGCCCTGCTAACATCATGAGGGGAAAGTGTTTTTTGTTTTTTTCCCCCCTTTGGCTTGAGTAGGGTGGATATTGTAAAAATGATTTTCTATTCTGCTGGGACATCCTTTTCTGGTCCTTTGACTAGGGAACAGGTTTCCTGGTTGGTTTGTTTTTTGTCTGTATCTGTTGATGGTTCCATGTTGCACACTTCTCCAGCACCCCTTCTTGAATACATAAGAGGAAAAAAGAAAACTCTGGTAACTCACAGCCATGTTATTCCTCAAGGCCTGAAGTCCCTAGTCAGTCTGCTCTCTTCCTTTCATCTTTCAGAGTCTTTCCTTTGTTTGCTGTATTTCATCCAGGGTTTTTAGTAAGAGGAAGAAATAGTTAGGAATGGGGACAATCCATTTTGGCTGTAACCAGAAATACCATTAATATTAATATATTTTCATTATTACTCAATTAAAAATCTTTTCTATTTTTTATTATGATTTATTCTTTTTTTAAATAATGCTTTCTTTTTTTCCTTTTTCTTTTTAAAATATATTTTATTGATTTTTTGCAGAGAGGAAGGGAGAGGGATAGAGAGTTAGGAACATCGATGAGAGAGAAACATTGATCAGCTGCCTCCTGCACATCCCCAAGTGGGGATGTGCCCGCAACCCAGGCACATACCCTTGACCGGAATCGAACCTGGGACCCTTCAGTCCGCAGGCCGACACTCTATCCACTGAGCCAAACCGGTTAGGGCTGATTTATTCTTTAAGGCATGGAATATAAAAGTGTTTTGCTTCAGGTAAAATGGATGATGTCTGGGATTTGCTTCAAAATAATATAGGAGAAAGTGAGTGAGGGTCTTGGCCAAGAGTTCATTATTCTTAAAACTGGATGTTGAACTCATGAGAGTTCATTTATACTTTCTTGCCTACTTTTTTTTTTTTAAAGTATATTTTTATTGATTTCAGAGTGGAAGGAAGAAGGAGAGAAAGATAGAAACATCAATGATGAGAGAGAATAATTGATCAGCTGCCTCCTAAAAGCCCCCCATGGGGGATCAAGCCCACAACCTGGGCATGTGCCCTTGACTGGAATCAAATCTGAGACCTTTCAGTTCATAGGCCGATGCTCTATCCACTGAGCCAAACTGGCTAGGGCTTGCCTACTTTTGTATATGTTTAAAATTTTCCCTTATTAGGAAAAGTTTTTACTGAGGCAAGGATATATGGAACAGACTGACAGCTGTCAGATAGGAGGGAGATGGGGGAAACTGGATGAAAGAAGGTGAAGGGATTAGCCAAAGAACATATATGCATAACTCATAAATACAGATAACTGTGTGGTGATGGCCAGAGGGAAGGGGGTGGGAGTTGGGTGGAGGTGGGCAAAGGGGGGGAATGGGGACATCTATAATAGTGTCAACAATAAAAATAAAGTTAAAGTTTTTTTTAAAATATGTATTTTATTGATTTTTTACAGAGAGGAATAGAGTTAGAAACATTGATGAGAGAGAAACATCGATCAGCTGCCTCCTGCATACTCCCTACTGGGGATGTGCCCACAACCAAGGTACATGCCCTTGACCGGAATCTAACCTGGGACCTTTCAGTCCGCAGGCCGACGCTCTATCCACTGAGCCAAACCGGTTAGGGCTAAAGTTGAAGTTTTTAAAAATCAGAAAAAAAGGGGTAGTGATTATTTTGCAAACACTTGGGACTTTACTTCCTCTTTAGTTATTGATTTCTAATTTCTAATTCAATGCTCTGTGATTGGAGGATGTCCCTGTACCTTTGAGGTTGACTTTTTATTGTGCATTATCAATAACCTTTTCCTTCTGTCAATAGCTTATTCACATCCTTGGACATTTTTTTCAATTGGGATATTAGTGTTTGTCTTATTAGTTTGTAGGGACTCATTTAAATTAGGAATAATCCTTCATCAATTGTTGAAAACAATGTTTCCTTGTGTAACTCTTACTTTGTATAATCTTCCTTGCTAACCTTTAGAAGAAGGGAAGAGAAGAAAAGAATATCTTGACTGTAGCTCAAAGACACAAGAACAGACCGTAACTCAAGGACTTTGCCTCTCTTAAAACTATCATGTGTCTGTAAGAACTGACTACACAACATTTTACCTCCAAGGTTATCAAAGTTAAAAAGTAAAGAACATATTTTATGGCTCCTCAAGATAATTTCCTTGGTTGCTAGTTTGGATAAGCTCTCAATGATTATCTTGTTAATTATAAAAGTTGATAATACCTAGGGGAGGCTGGGGGAAGGTCAAGGGAGAAAATAAAAAGGAGACATATGTACTACTCTTTGTAATACTTTAAGCAATAAAACAAAATTTAAAAAAAAGTTGATAATACCATTAAATATAGTTTATTAACATGACATTTGTTTTTTCATTGATTTTTAGGGAGAGTGGAAAAGAGAGGGAACGACAGAGAGAGAAACATCAATGTGAGGGAAACACATCAATTGGTTGCCTCCTGTATGAGCCCTGATCAGGGCCTGGGCGGGGAGGAGCTTGCAACCAAGGTACGTGCCCTTGACTGGAATCGAACCAGGGACCCTTTGGTCCGCAGGCCGATGCTCTATCCGCTGAGCCAAACCGGCTAGGGCTGTGGTCGGCAAACTGCGGCTTTCGAGCCACATGCGGCTCTTTGGCCCCTTGAGTGTGGCTCTTCCTAAGCCTTAGGAGTACCCTAATTAAGTTAATAACAATGTACCTACCTATATAGTTTAAGTTTAAAAAATTTGGCTCTCAAAAGAAATTTCAATTGTTGTACTGTTGATATTTGGCTCTGTTGACTAATGAGTTTGCCAACCACTGGGCTAGGGTATAGCATGACATTCTTGATAGGAAAATAAACTTTTACTCATGGACTTTAATCCTTTGGCTTCAAAGCAGTGTTAGATTGGGTAGAGGAGTGAGGTGAATCCATTTAAAATATATTCATTATGGTTTTTGATCAGTGAAAAGAAAAAAAATCAACTGCCCAGACCACCGTGGTCACTGGAAAGGAAAGCTCAGAAGATGAGTGCTTTAAGTTTGCCCTAGGTAAGACTGAGGGTAGGGAAGGGAAGTAGTTAGTTATATTCCCCAGGCAAGGATGACTAGAGTACCCACCTTGCCCTAGCTGCAGAAGAAAAAAATCTATACCATTTCAATGTTTTCAGTTTTAAATATAAAACTGGGGAAAATATTTCATTTTTAAAAACAGTTGAATAGCTGGCCGGTGTGGCTCAGTGGTTGCACATCTACATATGAACCAGAAGATCACAGTTCGATTCCTGGTTAGGGCATATACCCGGTTGTGGGCTCGATCCCCAGTAGGGGGCATGCAGGAAGCAGCTGATCAATTATTTTCTCTCATCATTGATGTTTCTATCTCTCTCTCCCTTCCTCTCTGAAATCAAGAAAAATATGTATGTTTATGTAAATAAAAATAGCTGAACATAAGTCAGAAACCTTTACAAAAGCACATTCAAAGTACAGTAATATGTATTTAAACACACTTTGAGAATGTCTTCATAGATAGCACCGTATTTGGGTTTGAAAAAGAAAATGAACATTAGAGTGTAATATTTTCACAAGCTCATCTACTTACCGTCGTACTGCAGAAATCCATTTTTATCTGTCTCTATCTCAGACGGTGGCTGAAAAAATAATAAAGTACCCATAAAAACTGTGCAATGCAGAAATAAGACAATTATACAATGAAGAGGTGGTAAAACTTGAATAAATGCATTGAATGAGGATAAATAAAATCAAAGAACAGCCGCGATAGTGGTGCCATCTAGTGGATAAGTAACACTACTGCATTGACTCTACCTTCACTACAAAAGCTGTCTCACTCAACAAAGGCTTTTTGGATGTAATACAATCAACTTTGCTACTAGAACTTCTTTTGTGTTAAATAAATTATCTAAGAAGTTTTAAAGATACCTTAAAGAAATCATCCTGAGATATGACACTGCAGTTTGGGAGATGTTTTTGCAAATTTTTAGCCAGTGTTGTCTTCCCACCATTTGTCACACTGAACCAAAAAAAAAAAGAGAAAGAAAGAAACTTCGTAAAAATATTGAAAGTACCAAGAAGAAAGTTACATTAAAAAGCTTAAAACATTAAAAAATATCTTAGAAAAAGAACATTTAAAACAGCAGTTCTCAACCTGTGGGTTGCAACCCCTTTGGCGGTCGAACGACCCTTTCACAGGGGTCGCCTAAGACCATCCTGCATATCAGATATTTACATTACGATTCATAACAATAGCAACATTACAGTTATGAAGTAGCAATGAAAATAATTTTTTGGTTAGGTCACAACATGAGGAACTGTATTTAAAGGGCCAGAAGGTTGAGAACCACTGATTTAAAACAATATCTAATATCTAAGGAAAATTATTTCTTTCATAGATAATGTTTTTCTGTGGGGAAAACCAAGGCATAAGTAGATGGTGCAATAAATTATAAGATAAGCTGGGAACTTGCCAGTGCTGCTCAGTGGTTGAGCATCAACCTATGAACCAGAAGGTCACAGTTCGATTCCTGGTCAGGGTACATGCCCAGGATGTGAGCTTGATCCCCAGTAGGAGGCATGCAGGAGGCAGCCGATCAATGGTTCTCTCTCATTATTGATATTTCTACCTCTCTCTCCCTTTCCTTTCCTCTCTGAAATCAATAAAAATATATTCTCAAAAAAAGAAATAAGCTGGGAAGGATTGAGGAGAAAGGTAACTAACTATTAGGGCAAGTGAACTGGGTAATACCAAGACTAAATACAGCTATTGTGTTGGAAACAAAATAATTTTTTTTTTGTCTATAGTGAAACATTCACAGGATTTATATGCAACACAGAATATGAGCAGTACATTTTAATGCAACTATATAAAACTGCATTTGGTCATCGAGATTCTTTTTCAATGCACAGTGGAGAAAAATGGAGGAGTGGCTTATTATAAGCCCACCTATCATGAATTCACCTCTCCCTTTGCAATGTCTCCTTTTCCCCTGATCTCTTTCCACTTTGGGGATAGGTGGGAGGTCCATTTCAGCTGACCACACCAGCCAAGTGAGGTGGTTCCATATTCCATATGTCCAAAGCTGGGCGTAACAGAAAAGAAATGATAGCTTCTCTCCAACGTCACACTGAGGGAGCAGCCATCTGGAGAATGAAACCATCCTGAACCAAAATAGCATCTGATCAGGCCTTGCCTTTGGTATAAAAAATAAATGATAAAGTAGCTTATTGACTCTCCTGTTTTTCTGTTTACAAGGAGACTCTCCCATCTCCTGTTGGCATTTATGCAGCCAGTGCTCCATTTTACATTTGATACTGGCCTGTTCTGCAGGACTCGGGAATCCTCACTGCTTCTCCTTCCCCCATCACGTCCACATGAAAACACCCTTTGGGCATCCTGAGTGTCTTGACCAGCTGTGTGTAGCAAAATTACTCACCCACCAATCCCAATGACAAATGTTTTCATGATTAGCTTTGAAAATGTCTTCTGAAATTTCCTGAAATAAAAAAAAATTGAATGCTTATCATTTAGAGGTCTGAAGAGGTAAAAGAAAGAGTCCTACACTGGGAGGGCCAGCTGAGGGGAAAGATGGCTCAGCCCTGGACTAGCCACATTCTGTGGAGGAGCTTCACACCATACAGGCACACCCTGGAGATACTGTGGGTTCAGTTCCAGACCACCCTGTAATAAAGGTAGTCATAATCTTTTTGCTGGTGGAGGGTCTTGACTTCAGTTTGTTAAAAAAACTCAAAAACTCAAAAAAACCATGCAATGTCCGTAAAGCGCAGTGAAACGAGGTACAGTATGCCTGTGCTGGCTTCTGTCGGCCACACTCTCCTGCTAACTGCCCACAGATGGTGCGTGCTCAGCGCCTGTGTGCCCAAGTCAAGGGAACTGAAAGGGCCCGTGACAAAGTGGATACCCTTGAAGGTGTGTTTTCAAGGCTGTGGAAGAGCTGCGAGGTTGCAGAGCACCCTACAGTTTTATACCCGGTCCCTCAGCCAGGTCGCCTTTTACCTGCTGGATTCAATCACTCGGACATGATCCATTTTCCCCACGGAGGGAACCACAGAGCTTCTCTCTCTCTCTCTCTTTCCCCTCTGCACCCTCTGCGTTAAGGGCACTATTTCCCCACCCAAAAGCCTAGGTCTGAGGCTAGGGTAGATAACTTTTTTTCAGAAATGGGACAGGCAGTAAATGTTAGAGGCTTTGTGGGTAAAGAGGCAAAATCCAGGTTATTATGTAGGTATTTATATGAGAGAGAAAACAAATTTCCACGATGTTTTTGATAACAGTCAAGACATAATAATAATCGAGTACAACTGTTTTTGGGTAATACATGTCTACTAATGAAAAGGATGGAATTCCTTTCTTTTCTTTTCTTTTCTTTTCTTTTCTTTTCTTTTCTTTTCTTTTCTTTTCTTTTCTTTTCTTTTTTGGATAACATTTCTCTTACTGGATTTGCAAGTTTGTGCTCCCTATCAGAAAACTAATGGCAAATGTTGAAGCAGAGGGCCAGGTTTTAGGCACAAGACCCTGGTCTGTTGACCCCTGGTCTAGGGGCTGGAGGGCAGTTTCACACATGGCCATCTAAGGTTCATCACAGCAGTCCCTTCCAATGGGCCAGTTTCACCTTTTTACGTGAAAAGGGGAAGGTCAGTGGAGGGAGCCTTAGAAAGCTGCTCTTTACCCCTGACTGCCTTGCTTGGCTGATCAGGAATCTAAGCTGTGCTGTTCCTGGGGAGTGGCCCCTGAGCTGGGGGTTCCCAGCAGCCTTCCCGCTTCCTATCTCTGACCTGTGTCCAGACGTCCCCCGGGGAGAGGTGGTGGGGAGAAGAGCCTGGTGCAGAGGGGCGGTTGTTCTTTGGCGTCTGCTCAGAATATTCCAAACTGAGAGCAATAGCTTAAGGTTCGGTCCCACTTTCATTAACGTGCCTATGTGAGACAAGGATTCAATGATGACTATGCTAAAAATACAGTAACAGAACACGCTGGACATCTGAGTTTCACCAGGAGTTGCATTGTTGAATATATATCCCACCCAAATTGACCGAGCATGTCAAGGGACCAATTACAGACAATGAGTACCGTAAATTTTTATGCTGTAATTGTCTACGTAAGAAACGTCCAAATCTGTAGACTTTTTTTTTTTTTTATGAGTTCATTTGAGCCAAACTGACAATGGCTGGGAAGCCAAATCTCAACGGATTGAAAAAATGCTCTGGAGAATGGTAGTTTTGCTGCTTATTTTATACATTAAAAACAAAGGAAGAGACAGAACATGCTACATGAAATTCATTCGTGATAGGGAGGTGGGATAATGCAAAACGGGAAATCCCTGAGATTGGCTAAAGAACAAAACAGAGAGACACTTCTTTTACACTGGTGGGTACAGGAGAGTTAACAGTGAACATTCATAGCACACAGGGATGGTATTTGGGGAACAAGATAACAGTGAGGGGTGGTGTGGTCTCATGCCCTGGTGTGAGGTTATACTCTGAGAGGTCTGGAAAAAAGGAGATTACACTGACATTCCAAGGGTTTGTTATCTTAGATGCAAAAAGACAACAGACAGACCTACTTAAGGTAAAAAGCGAACCTTTGTCAACGAAGGTCCAGGCCCAGGATGTGGCACCTGCCATGACGAGCTTTGAGTCAGGAGTATTTATGTTCTGTTCTGACCATCCTGTGTGGTTCCTTTACGTCTCTGAGTGTAAGGCCCGCCACACAGGCCTCCCTTGAGCTGGTCAGGTTTAGTATGTGGCCCCTTTTTTTGTCCACATAATTTTTCTTTTGGGTTTAATTTTACCCTATGCTTATTTTTAATATGTCAGTGCAAGGGTGGCAACTATTTTTTGGGGGGGGTAGAGAAGGCTGCCCTTTATCTTGAGAGGGTGCCTTTCCTACTTTTTTGTTGATAAATGTCCTTTCTCGTGTGAAAGGATGGCTTAGGGCAGTGGTTGGCGAACTGTGGCTTGCAAGCCACATGCGGCTCTTTGGCCCCTTGAGTGCGGCCCTTCCACAAAATACCACGTGCAGGCGAGCACGGGCAGTGCAATTGAAACTTCGTGGCCCATGCGCAGAAGGTGGTATTTTGTGGAAGAGCCACACTCAAGGGGCCAAAGAGCTGCATGTGGCTCGCGAGCCGCAGTTTGCCGACCACTGGCTTAGGGAGTTCACTTAGTCCACCCCTTCATTTTACAGTTGAAACTGGCCCAGAAAATGCAGTGACTTGCCCAAGGTAACACAACTAGTATGTTTTGGAAAAGAGAAACAAAACTAGACCTCTTTCCAAGCTGCTAAAAAGCACTTTGTTACCAAGAGCAAAGAAAAAATGGTGCACATGCGCTGGCTTGTGAGGCTCCCATGTATAATTAATGCCCTTTTTCTTGATGTATTATTGATGGGTGTATATTTTCTCTGCACACTACATGGCAAGGACTGCTGGTCCCCTGTGCTTCTTGCCACATTTGTGCATACACATTAGGATACTGTATCAATTACATAGCATGTAAGTAATGAGTGTGGTTGCGGCCCTGGAAACAGGCTTGAGGGGATTATTTGGGTGGAAACTCTAGCAATTCAGAAACTAGGAGTGAGAGTTAAGAACCTACTATTATAATTCTCTTGGGCTCAGGAGGGAACTCCCCCAGTCCAACGCAAGTTTTTACCAAAACAGGAACCCTCGGTTCTATATTAGTTAGTAGTCTTAGCCTGTCCAAGTCAGTGCTTGGGCAAATGTTGGGTACAGTCCATTAGCAACGAACAGATGACCATGTGGTGGGAAGGGTGGGGAACTGGAAGCAGCAGAAGCAAGACCTCTGGCTGGGATGAGTAGCAGGGGGGTAGGGGGTGTAGAAATCCCAGAAGCCATTTATTTCAGACAGTGTTGGATGCACAGGGCAGCTTCTGGTGATTCCTAAGTTCAGGCCTGGCACTGTCCACCTCAACACCAGGTTCTGTTATTTCACTGCCTGTAGCCCTCTTTAAGAACTATTTTAAAATCACATTTCAAAGCTTTTAATCAAGAGTTGCCAGTCTCTAAATACTGTATGTATACACAGCAGCAGCCTCCATGAAGCAAACAAATTTGATCAACTACACACTGTTGATCACTGAATGTCTCCAGAGAGACAGCCATTTGGACTTTCCAGCCTCATCAATGCAGGGCATCCAATTACTAGGAATATAATCACCCCCAATCTCATGGGATATTAGCGTGCTTTATTCTCCCAATAAGTGCAAAGCTTTCCTCAGCAGCACAGAGCATTTGCATAGGGGTAGGAGAAGCGACTAAGATATCCATGAGCAAACCCAAAATAAGTAATTTTAACTACTTTCTTTTACCCTAAGTAAAATATATTGTTGAGTCTTTTTTTTCATAGCTGGTGTTTATAATATTTCACTTATTTCACTACTCAAGTTGGTACATTTTGGATTCCAAACTGCAAAATAGTCACAGGTGGCATGTGCAGAATCAGCAAATAATAAGAAAATAGCAACTCCCTAACACAACTGTTTGGCAGACCAATGACAATATGCTAACGAAGTGTTCTGCTTTTCCACGTATTGAAAAGAGCAATTTGGCTAAAATTTCTGAATATGCAAAAGATTTCCCTTTCCCTTGGAATCACTCCATCTTTCACTAACCCCTGGTGTAAGTTTCGAAACTTCATTTTACGTAGTCTCATGCAGAAAGCTTTTCTTTCTTTTCCATTTTTCTTCCCCCAAACACAGAGTTGGTGTATAATATTGACTGTGTTATTTCGAACTTAAAAACGCTGCATTTCGTGTGTGCTCTAGTCCTCGCTCCCATTGGCGATTCAGTTTGCTGGGTGACGGGGTGGGCAAATGTTTGCAAAGTGCTAGATAGAGAATGTTTCCGACTTTGCACGCAGCTCTTATGAAGTGAGAGCGGCCACAGACGATACATAAGCAACTGAGCGTGGCTGTGTTCCTAACACTTTCTGGACATTGGAATGTGAATGTTATATAATTTTCACGTGTCACAAAATATTCTTGTGACCCCTTTCCAGCCATATAAAAATGTAAAAACCGTTCTTGGTTAGCACGCCCTACGGTAACAGGAGGCAGGGGGCGGTAGAGTTAGTCAACCCAATGCCGGAGGATACAAGACCTCCTCCGTGGGGATCCAGACCTGGTCTTGTCCCGGGTGACTCCCCCCACAATCTGGACGATCTGTGGGAGGCAGACTCCCATTTTAAGGATTATTGCGGGGCGTTAAAGCACTAAGTCAGCACGAGTACACACGGCAGGCTACGTTTCGGCACGTCTAAGGTGTCAGAGGCCCAACGGGACTTGCAAGACGCAACCAGGTTCGGGCTCCAGCAGAGGAAACACTCTGGAAACACTTGTAGGCCCCACGGGGCGAGGCTGCGCGGCGCGGCGGGGTCAGGCAGGTACTCACCCGGACTTTCTAGTCCTCCCCGGCAACGCGGCAGAGGCGATGGCCCGGCGCGCCGGTCACTAACCCGCCGCAAGCCCACAGCTCGCTCACCCAGAGGCCCCTGCCCTTGCCCCCGCGCTCCTCCCACTGCGCCCCTCCCACTGCGCCCCTCCCGGGTCAGAGGCGGCCCAGGTACAGGTCATTAACGGAGGGATCAGCACACCCCGCTGTAGACCCCGTAGGGCGGGGCCGGGCTCCGGCGAGCGTGGCTCTGCGCGCGCCCCTGCGGGTCCAGCCCTATCTCGTCGGGCGCGCGCGCCGGCAGCTCCCTGGCTAGGCTGCCGCTGGCTCCGCCGCCCGCGCTCCCGCGCCCCCGCCGCCGCGCCCCCGCCGCCGCGCCGCAGCTGCCAGCGGGGAGCCAATGAGCGCTCGGCGAGGCGGCGGCCACTTCCTCGTCAGCCCGGCCGCGCGCTCGGGACGGCTGGGCGGCCGCGGGGCGGGGCAGGGACTGCGCCGAGCCCCTCTGCCTGCGTCCGCTGGTCCTGCCGCCGAGGGTGGGCGCAGGTCCTCGAAGGCGCACCGCTGCGGACCGGACCACCAGGAGCTTTGGTTGACCGAGCGCCGGCTGGCGGGGCGTTCGTTGGGCTTTTCGTGCGTCGTCTTCAGGATCAGCTGCTCCAGGAAGCGAGATGGCGAAGCCGCCACCCAAACCGGTCAAACCAGGTAAGGGAGGTGCTCCCGGGTCCCCCGACCGCCTCGGTGCCCTGCAAGTTTCCTCTGCCACTTGGCCGGGCAGACCCGGCCCGGAGCCTCGCTCTCGAGATGCGACCCACCAGGAGAGGAGTTTGCTAGCTCTGTTGCGTTCGCGAAAGGGGAGGGATCGTTTTGGATAGCAAGAGGATTTCGAAGATTTTTTTAAAAAGTGTATTTTAAAAGTGGTGTCGCCCTTGGTTTTACAACATCGACATTCTCTGCGACGTTCAAGCGGGTGTGATGGCTTCGTCCCATTGAAACTTTCCTGGTGGACAGGGCGATGGATCTCCCTTTTCAAAAGAAACTAAGTAAATGTCTTGAAATGGTCTTGTAGCCACTTCCTTTTTTCTTTTTTTCTTTTTCCAGTGTGTGTCACTGTCAAGTTAGAGTTCTTGACCGGCCCGAGAGAACAGGAAGTACGCTGCTTGCAGGGTGGGGTGGGTGAGCGAGTCTCCTTTGGGACTTTTGAGAGGAACAGCGTTTGGAATTGATCTCGGGAAAAACATTTAGAAAACTTGTACTCGGGTTCATGGCGAGAACAGTCTGGGCTGCGGCAGAGCAATCTCGGCTTTCACCATTCGGAAGCGTCACTTTATCGTGCCCTGCGAGTCCTTTGCCTCCGCTCCCCAGTGGTTTGGCCTCTGCACTGGAGAGTGCGAGATTACTAAATTACCCAAAGCCCTGTTCTTGGCCCATAGACCTGGTTCATTTTTTTTTTTTTAAATATATTTTATTGATTTTTTACAGAGAGAAAGGGAGAAAGATAGAGAGTTAGAAACATCGATGAGAGAGAACATCGATCAGCCGCCTCCTGCACATCTCCCACTGGGGATATGCCCACAACCCAGGCACATGCCCTTGACCGGAATCGAACCTGGGACCCTTCAGTCCGCAGGCCGACGCTCTACCCACTGAGCCAAACCGGTTTCGGCGACCTGGTTCATTTTTGACTCCATTCTAGGATATTTGCTGCGATAGGGAGAAAAGAGAATTTAAAAGGGACTGATGTATTTCAGATCAATTCTGCATAACAAACTCTCCCACATGCATTTGGTAGGAAACGGAAAATAAATAGCTCTGACATACTCAGGTTTTTTCCTCCCAATCTCATGGAACTTCGGTATAGCATAGACTGATGAAAGCTATCAATTCACTTTACATTTCAAAGTAATCTTGGTTGCAAGGCATAGAGTTTCCGTGATTAATTTTTCCTTGATTTTTTCTAAACTTTAGTGAAGCATTACAACTTGCATGATTATTCAATTTTCTTTCTTTGCCCACATACATTGCTAGTTTCAAGTCATTTTATTTGAAAATTGTGTACATACTCACATATATGGAATAGTGATTCACTGAGGACTTAAATTTTGGTGGGCTGGGTATGGAAAAAGTTGCTGGGACTTTGGCTCTGCTGTGAGCAAAGATGGGGCTTGGCCAGAATTGGGCTCTGTGCTTCTTTAGATGTGGAATCTGATGAGGAATTTGCATTTTAAGTGAATATGTAGGAGGTGGCCACTTTCTAAACTCAGATGTGAATCATGATCTCAAGTATTCAACAAAGCATAGTTATTATTTGATAGCTAAATGAAGTACTGTACTTTATTATAAAGTATGTCTTGAGAAGCTATTCATGAGGGTTTTTTAAAATGTCTTTAGACATTAAGTGATATCTTTGCAGCTGGAGGGACATTGAATGTGATGTGCATGTGTGTGTGCACGAGTGTGTACTTATGCACACATGGGTGTGGTTTAAGGACCATAGTGTTACCAGCTGAGGATAAACTCCCAGGAATCATTTTTGTTGTCTAACATCACTGCTTTCTCCTCTTCAGCAAACCAGAAAGCAAATGGTTGAAAATGACTGTTGTTTAGAGACAGCTTGGATTCCTCACACATTTACAAATGACATCCAAACTCAAATAAGGTCACCATAGAAATAGGGTCCCTCTAGCTTTCTGCAAAGCCAGAACCGGGCAGAACAGCGTGGCTCAATTCATAGGCAATATGAGAAGGAGGACAGCTAAGCGAGAGAGGACAAAGGACTTAATGGAAAATTTTAGTAATAAGGAACGTTAAGCTATGATGTGGGCTAATGTATCTATCAGGTTGATTGGCAATACCCCATAAGGGGACCTTTTTGGAAAGGAGGCTGCCCAGACAGATGCTGGTCAGCTGCTTGTGGGAAAGCCCTGCCACTTAATTTCTTTGTGCATTTCCCTAATTTCCTTCCCGAGGCTATACCAGGGGTCACCTGGTTTGGGATTTTGTCCACAATCAAAATTCATTTGCCAAAAGCACTTCTTAATATACGTAGGCCTCATGCTAGACCCTGGGGTTCTAAGGAACTATGACATAGGTTCTCACTCATGAGGGTCTTGAGTCTAATGGGGGAGATTTATATATGCACAGATTAATTTTAGGTTGTTCCTACAAGTGAATGGCTGATTTGTCCATTTTGTATAAAAAAAATCTTGTAGTTAAAAATAAAAGTAAGCCAAAACCGGTTTGGCTCAGTGGATAGAGCGTCGGCCTGTGGACTGAAGGGTCCCAGGTTCGATTCCGGGTTGAGGGCATGTGCCTGGGTTGCGGGCACATCCCCAGTGGGAGATGTGCAGGAGGCAGCTGATCGATGTTTCTCATCGATGTTTCTAACTCTCTATCTCTCTCCCTTCCTCTGTAAAAAATCAATAAAATATATTTTAAAAAAATAAAAGTAATATTTTTATTATAGAACCTTTAGAAAATAACAAACATATAAAAACCATCCCTACTTATCTGGTGATAGCACTGTTTTTCCCCAGTTTATTTTTTTCTTTTTCAAATCCATTTCATTCGAAAAAGAAAATACAAACAGTCATTCCCAGAACAGAATCAGATTCCATTTTAAGTGCCTTGCTGTTGGTTGCCATGTTTCCTATAGTCTCTGTAGTATCACCTACCCTCTGCTTGAAAAAGCAATTCTGTCACATTTTAACCTTTCCTTGTTTACTGGTGTTTTTATTCCTATAGGGTCACTGTTGGCCATCCCAGGTCTTTTATCGAAACTCTACCTTCTAATTGTTAGATGTGTCACTATGGTACTCCATCGGCTGACATGTGTCACAGTTTTATGGTTTAGCTCATTCCTTATGAAATCCTCTTTACCTTCTACTGTTTTACACACATGTGGCATTTCTGTTCCTTTCAGCCACCCTCTGGAGCCTTGCAGTTAAATTAGGGTGAACCGGTCTGTCTTGTCGGATTGGAGAAAACAACTTATGTTCTCACAAAGCCTTTTTTTTTTTTTTAAAAAAGAGACGTTATTCTGAGACTTGATGTAAAATGGGCCAAAGGATATTGAATGAGATGTGGCTACAATCCTTGCATTGAAAGCAGGTTTGATGACCCTCCACTGTAGCTGGAAGCCTGAGGTCTGACCTTGACCATTTCTTTAAAATGGCTTATTGATTTTGATGGTGGAAGTAAAGCAGCATAAATATTTCACATGTCTTCTGAAAATAAATTTGTGGGACATTGAAGAAGCAGATGCCAATGTTTTGGGTTCTTTTGTATACACAGTAAAAAACAAACTTCAAAGATGTCACACATATGCTGTTTATATAACACCATTGAGAGGAAAAAGGTCTTCATCCAAAACCATCTGAACTCTCATATAATTTTTTCCCCTCTTAATAAATGAATGTCAGGGGTGCTCCATTATAAAGTTTGAGAAACACCTTGAAAATGACAGGGTGATGATGATGATGATGGTGATGGTGGTGGTAATAGTTAACATTTATTTCTAAGTGCCAGGAACTGTGCCAAGAACTTTAAATGCCCCATCTCATTTGATTATTTTAACTTCCCTAAAAGGTAGATCCTAATATCCCCATTTTATGGATGAAGTAGGACTTAGTGAGGTTAAGAAAACTATTTGAGGTCTCAAAGCTAGAAAGTGGTTGGTTTGACCCAGGAATAGAACACAAGCCTTAACTGGAGTCTCTGCATTTTGCTCAGAGGAACCTGTGAGGATTCTGTTAGATTGGACGAAGTTTTGTTGGGCAGCCATCCTTACTAACTTAGGCAATTGTATTTTTTACATTTGCTTTGTATAACCCCTCTTTCAATAGGTCTGTATTAGACTATTAGATACTTTTCGAGAATAGAATAATCTTTTATTTCTTTGTATCTGCATAGCAAATAAACTTTCTATGCATGACATACATAAAAAGTCTTGATACATAATAAAGTCTTTGTCTGGAAGAAGGTGAGGGAGATTGTGGTTGGGTACATCTTGTAGCTTCACCATAAAGTAGCAAAGACTGGAGGCACTGTCTGTCCATCAGCACTACTTCTGAAAATAGTGGGGGTCCCCTCCCTTTTGTGTTAACATTCCCACCCTTGACTTCACTGTGACTAGTAACTAGTTTTTCTGACACGCCTCTGTAAGGGAGGAAAAATATTTCCTTTATCCTCTTAGGTTCTATGTCTGGGTCTTGTGAATTAAACTGAGGAAAAAAAAGTTTAACAGAAGAAAAATGCATACAAATTTATTTTGTTTTTAATTTTATATGTACACTAGAGGCCTAGTGCACGAAATTCGTGCATGGGTAGAGTCCCATGGGTAGAGTCCCTAGCGGCTGCCAGCTGCCGGCCGGGACCTCCCTTCCCTGGCTGCCAGCCGGGGCCTTCCTTTGTTCTGCACCGCCCACTGGTGGTCAGCGCACATCATAGCGAGCGATCAAACTCCCAGTCAGTCGAACTCCCGAGGGGACACTTTGCATATTATACATATATATATATATATATATATATATATATA